TCTAGTCCCAGCAACAACCACCTGTAACCCCATACCCACAGAATCCAAAACCAGCTTCCGACCTCTTCGAGCACCTTCCACCAACATGGTACACTTACATGCATGCAGATACGATGCTCACACACATAAATTGAAACAGATGAATCTAAAAACAATGGCATTTAAAATGCAGGGTGGGGGGAGAACTGCAGTCTCTACAGAGTGGTGAATTTAACAGACCCAAGTACATCAGAGCTGGGCAGTGAGGAGCTGCCTGCAAGCATTTCTTCCCTAAGTGTCTGGAACACAGCACAGGGCCACGGTCCAGCACCTCCAGAGCTGTGTGCAGGTGTGGTTAGGCCCAACCCAAAGCATCTTCCTACATGACTCAACTTCAAATCCTGTTTGGGGAGGAGGCAGGTAATCTAAACACAGGACTGCAGGGTCTTTCATTTTCACTGTGAACATTCTCCTTCGAAGGGAACTCTGGGCAAATTCTTCAGAGTGAATTCTGCGGTTTTGTGATCTTTTGAAAGTGTAGAACTCCTTAGCCAGCCCTCACAGACACAGCAGGACACAAGCAGACTCATTTGAAAGATCGGACTGGAGAATTTCCTAATGAAGCTGAACTTCTCTTTTTAGTTGTTTGTTTGCTCGTTTTCTTTTTCCATGAATTTGTCTTGTTTTGGTCAAAAAAACCTTTTACTCTCCAACTCTTCTTAGGACCTTCCCCCATCTCCTTTCCAACTTATGTCCTCTTTCAGATAGATAGATAGATAGATAGATAGATAGATAGATAGATAGACAGACAGGTAGACAGGTAGATAATAGAGGTGGATGAATGAGTGCATGGGTAGACTGAAAAATGGATGCACAAAAAGGCAAAAAGATAGAGAAAGACAGTTGGACGATAGGTAGGTAATAAGATGAATGTATGTATGGATAGATAGATAGATAGATAGATAGATAGGATAGAGACAGAATTCAATAGATAATGGATAGATAGATAGATAGATAGATAGATAGGATAGAGACAGAATTCAATAGATAATGGATAGATAGATAGATAGATAGATAGATAGGATAGAGACAGAATTCAATAGATAATGGATGGATAGATAGATAGATAGATAGATAGATAGATAGATAGATAGATAGATAGATGAGATGGAGAGAGATAATAGAGATGGATGGATGAGGGTGTGGTAGACTGAAGGATGGATGCACAGAAAGATAAAGACAGTTGGATGACAGGTAGGTAATTAGATAGATAGATAGATAGATAGATAGATAGATAGATAGATAGATAAGCAGTGTTCTCTGAAAGCATGTGGATATTGGGCTGGGCAAACTATCAGGAATCTCACCCCTGAAGAAAGAAACTTCATCACCCCCTAACAGTCATCAATGTCTCTAACTTCCTAATAGATGTGCAGCTCTGTGAGTCTCTTCCCATCCCCAAGAAAGATGAACATCTACAATGTCTCTTAGGCTGGTGAGATGACTCAGTGGTCAAGGTGTTCATCTCCAAGCCTGATGACCTGAGTTCAAGCACCAGGAAGGATCCACATGACAAAAGGAGAGACTAAAACTAACTTCCGAAAGTTTTGCATTTGTCTTTTGACCTACACATGCATGTGTACACACTTGTACCAGCCACACACATAAAATAAATAAAACACAAATACAAAGAATTTTAGAAATTAAAATGTGTCTGGAGGTCTGGGGATATGTTTCAGCTGGTAGAGGACTTGCCTACCATGGCACTGAGTTTGATCCCCAGTGCCCAGTAAATTAATCATGGGGGCAAGACTGTAATTACAGCAGCCAGGAGGCAGAGGCAGAAGGAACCATTGTTCAAGGTCATTCTTGCCTACATGGAGAGCTCAAGGCCTGATTGGGCTTCTTGGGGCAAGTGTGGCTGTTTGAATGATAATGGCCCCCAGAGGATCTGAATGTGTGGTTCCCAGTTGAGTTGGTAGAACTGTCTGGGAAAGACCAAGAGCTGTAGCCTTGTTGGCATTAGCATGTCAGGGCGTGGATTAGATCTACTTCCCTCTCTCTATGCCTGGTGGTTGATGTCTCAAGACGTTAGCTCTCAGATACTGCTCCGGAATCACACCTGCCTGCCTGTTGCCAAGCTCCCCAACTTGGTGGTCATGGGCTCTACCATCTTCCTATTATTCAACAGAAAACGGTTCCTCAGTTCAGAGGTGACAGCTGTGTATGACCTTGTCATTCAGAGGAAGCACAAGCTTCCTCATACACGGATATGACACAAACGTGATACATTTTAACTCACTATATCGCTGCAATTTGTCTCACTATACCCCTGCATTTTAACTCACTATACCCCTTCAATTTAACTCATGGCCCTGGCCTTTGTGCTATTTTTAAATCCCCTTAACCACCACCTCTATCCCTATCTGAAGAAGGGTCATTTCTGAATTTTTCAATTTTAGTGTTGTTGTTACAGTGACTTCTTCCTTAATACAAGACTCAGTATGTAAAAATGTCAATTTTTAAGGATCCTATAAAAAGGATTATTCCAGAAGACTTACAAACATGCAATCTTTTAAAAGAAGGAAGTACATAAACCATAACAGTGAAATCCCTAATAACTTGAGGGAAACTTTGCCAGTTCTAAATCCACGAATCCAGTCATTACTTAACGAAGCCCACCTTAACGGAAAATCTGCACAGGAAGGAGGGTCATGAGGCCCCTCCAGCTCACACAAACCACAGGAAACTCACCCTGCTGAGGACTGGTGACAGAGGAGAGAATGAAGCCACTGTCACCAGAGCTCATTTAATTCATGTTTTGACCAAAATTAAATAAAATATCATGCATGACTCAACTTCTCCTTTTTTATATAATTACTTCTGCAAAGCAATCTGTGGAAAATTGGGAGTACCAATTAGGTTGGTAAACTGGCAGACCATGTACTACTGTCTGCTAGCCAAGGCCATTCTTTCTTAAAGGGGATATTTATTTATTTATTTATTTATTTATTTATTTACTATATGAGTGTGTGCAACCCAGGGAGGCCAGTAGAGGCCACGAGATCCTCTTGAGCTAGAGTTCCTGGTGGCTGTGAGCCACTGGACTTGGTGCTGGGAACTAAACTCAGGCCCTTGAGAGCAGCAAGTGCTCTTAAGCACTGAGCCTTCTCCTCAGCCCCTCAGGTCACTCTTTATCCCAGCTGCACGGAGGCTGTGCTAGCCCTCAGACTCCATCTTGTTTTCTATCCAAGCAATCTGATGGCATGCCGGGTGTCTCTCCTACTCCTGCCCTGCCTCTGAAACGCCTTTACTCGTCATCACAGCTCTATTTGGAGACTCGTGATTAAGCAGCTATGAGAAGGGCGTGCAGAGTTAGTAACCGCCTTCTAGGTCCACAGGTTGAAGACCTGCTCTGCTTATGTAGAGATGCTTGCATTTGCTGATGGGCCGGGCACCTGAAGCTCTGGGAAAAGGGGAGTCACACAGAATGACAGCAACTAGTTGTTGTTGGGGGAAGTCCTTCAGTGTATGTGTTTGTCTTATTGGTTGATAAATAAAGCACTGTTGGCCAATAGGAAAGCAAGATGGGTGAGGCTAGGAGTTAAGGAGGATTCTGGGAAATGTAGTAAAGAGAGAGTCGCCATGTGATCCCGTGAAGAGAGGATGCTAGTGGCTGGCGTCCTCGATAAGTCTTTATAAACTATATAGATTAATGGTTATGATTGATACTTAAGACAGAGCTAGCAAATGAGAAATCCTAGTCATTGGCCAGCAGCATTGTAACTAATATAAGACTCTGTGTGTTATTTGGGGGCCCTAACGTGGTGACAGAACGCAGGCGGCTGGCGGAAAGAGTTATCGTTACAAGTTGTCTGTTATATATATCTTCATTTATTTATTTGTTTATCAGTTTTGGTATTTTGAGGCAGGGCTCCTGTAATTCAGGCCAGACAACTTGAACTCTTGGTTCCAGGATTGTCCCAACATTGCCCAGCGTAGTACACATAGCCTTTTGTAAATGGCAACATGCACTTCCTGCGAATGGTGATATAGCCTCAAGAAGACAGACTATGAGAGCCTAAGAGACGTGTTAAGTTTTAATTACTATGCCTAAGAGATCCACGAAGTGCCTTGCCCAAGGACAGACAGTTCCTGAAATGCTGGAGGCTGTTGTTTATGGAGATAACAAGCCTCATGTTTTCACTCCCTAAACAAGTGCGTTTGAGCCGTCTGCATCAGATGTGCTTGATTATATGTGGGTGGGAGGTGTGTGGGAACTACATCACCATGTATGCTTGCCCCTGATTGGACCTGCTGGGAAATATTTAAGCCCCTGCAAACTATGACTTGGGGCCATTTTCCTGGGAAATTGAGTATGGACCTGGCTAGAGCCCATCCACCTGGCCAGTATTTAATGAAAACCTGCTTCAAATTTGGCTTTAAAGTGTGGTGGTGTTCTGAACCAGTGGGATTAACAAGATCACATGGTGCCCAGAAGACAGGTGGCTGCCACCACAAGCAAAAGAGAAAAAAGTGACTGGTTGCACAGACTGAGCTCCACTAAGATGGGTTAGAGGGGCAAAAACCCTCAAAGTGTGACCTGAAAGAAGAAGTTATCTAGCATTCTAACTTTCAAAGCAAGAACTAGGCTTCTGGTATTAGTCCCCCTTGGCCCAACCTCATCCACAGTTTAGTTACTAGTATATAAATATGATAGGGGTATACACATCTTTAAATTATGTGGATGTCTGTGAATGGGTTTGTACCCATCAGTACAGTGCCCAAGGAGGCCAGAAGAGGGTGTTGAATCCTCTTGAGCTGGATTTAGACACAATTGTGAGCTGCCCTATTGTGTGTGCTGGGAACTGATCTCTCTGTAAGAGCAGAATGTGCTGAGTCAGCTCTCTAGCTCTACTGCCATAGATCTTTATCTTAGGCTTACCTATAGAGTAAGCAGTGAAAGAACACAATATCTACAAAGGAGAGAAAGATGAAAAGACAAATTCTCAATACGTTACAGCGTTTCAGTGGATGGATGGTCCTATTACAGCTTAGGTAGATGGGTACATCTTTCTGGGCCTCCATTTCCACATCTGTAAAATGGGATGGAAAATTATACCCTCTCAGAGGGCAGTTTCGTGATTTAAAATGGCATGCAAGTGAACTCGTTTTTTCAATTAACAAAGTGTTGTACTCATGCAAAAGATTAACCATAGACTATGCACGGCCAGGTATGGTCAATAGGTTGTCCTCAAACCTCTCAGACAGCAGTCCCCAAGCCTAGCTGCTATTCTTTGCCCATTTCAGTGAGAATAAAGAAATTCAAGTTGGGTCACTGATCTGCTTTTTTTTTTTGGGCACTGGTTTCCCACCACTAGAGAGGTAGGTAAATAACAACTTCGGCAACTTTTGTGTGTGTGGTGCTGGGAATTGAAGCTCGGGCCTCCCAGATGCTAGGCAGGCTTTCCACTACCAAGATGTATTCCCACTCCTCACAGAGGTTTTGTTGTTAATATCCATCATTTCATTTTAATGTTCATTTTAAATATTCATTTAGATACTCACTTCTACCTATGCAAATGGTTAAAGACATTCCATGTGCTCCTGGATTATATGGAACAAAGGGGAATATGGACACTGAGATGACTCATCTTGACAGTCAACTTGGAACGCAAGCTTGTGTCAATGAGGGTGTATCCAGAGAGACTTAACTGAAGAGGGAAGACCCTCCCTGAATGTGAAAGGTCCTGTCTCACAGGCTGGGCCCTTGCACTGAATGAAGAGAAGGCAAGCAAGCCCCAGCAGGCCTCTCTGTCTCTGCTTCCTGACTGTGGGTGCAATGGAGCGGCTGCCTCATGGTCTTGCTGCCAGGCCTTCACCATCATAACTGATGGGAGACCCAAACTGTGATCCAAAACAAGCCTTCTTTCCTAAAGCTGTTTCTGTCTCAGGCATTTGTCACAGCAATGAGAAGGCTAACCAACCAATAGAGGACTGAAGTTCACTAAAGTGGCCCTGGCTACTCTAACAGAGTGCACATTGGCCTCTGGGAATGCAGTCTAAGCTCTACTTGGAACCAGTGTATGTCACCTGGGCCCTCTAATCTCTCCATTTTCTTCTGACTTTAGGACCCTGCCATTTATAGAGCACAAGAGCCAAGTAGCTGACACCCTGATGACATCATAGTGAAGATTTTCTAGAAGCGACACCATCAATGACATTCCCAAGCTTCCCAGGGTTGCCTGCAAAGCCCCTCCTGCAGCCTGCTACAGCACTGATCATCATCAACTAGCCTTGTATCAGAGGATGTGTATTGTTTCTCATTCCCCTACCCAGGACCTGTAAAAGATGAACACCTCAAGAAATATTCAGAGATCAGGGCTGTTTTGATTGGCAGAACATGACTCCTATAGACATTGGATACCTAGGCCAGTTGTTTTTTTCTATAAAAGTTGCTGCAGGGGATGAGAAGAGGACCTATTCTGTAAAGTGTCTGCATGTAAGCAAGAGGATCTGAGTACAGATTCCCAGTAGCCAAATGAAAAGGCTGAACAAGGAAATGCTTCCTTCCAATCCCAGCACTGGGAGGGTAGAGACATGAGGATCCCTGGGTCTTGCTGACCAAGAAGTCTAACCTAATGATGAGCTCCAAATTCAGAGAGAGATTCTGTCTATAATTAAAAATAATAATAACAGAGAAAGAGATATTGAATATTGACCTCTGGTCTCTACATATCTGTGTGTGTGTGTGTGTGTGTGTGTGTGTGTGTGTGTGTATACCCACACACACACACACACCCACACACACACACACACACACACACACACACACACACACACACACACACACACACAAACTACATACACAAACATGCAACACACACATATGTCCACCAAGAGAAAAAGAAGAGATGCAAGGGGAAGTGACTATTAAACATTGGCAGAGACGGCTCATGGGAACTAAAGTTATAGCTGTGATTCAAGAAGATATCATTGAACTGTTAAGAAACTGGATGCCACCAACTCAACTGTCACATGGGTGGTACTGCTTATCTAAATGGGTCAGGAAACTAAGTCACATACTGGTGGGATAGGGGAAGGGGGACAGTGGTGGGAGAGATAAGAGACGACGGGAAGAGGAAGTAGTCAGAACACATTATATACATTATGAAATCGCCAAATAACAAAATTAATCATTATCGAAAAGAAACTGGGTGTTCTTCTACGCCCTGGAGACTCTCCAGGCATCTATCTAATTAATAAGTGTGTGACAACGGCTAGTACTGTCCTGAACACTGTAAGTGATTATATGATGGCCACCAGCACTCTCCCACCAACTCCATCATTAAAATCTTGAAAGATAAACGTTTTTGGCAGTTTCAAAAGCTAACTATTGGCATTGGCGTGTCAAATTAAGAGTCCTGAATCTCAACCATTTCTGAAAAGTATCAGACTATTAAGACTAAGGTCATGAACTTTTCTTTCATTTCCTCTGACTCCCTAGAAAGGGTAAAAACTCAGGCCGTGCACACCTGCTGTTTGGTCTGAATGTGGACTGTCCCCCACAGGTTGGTGTTTGAATGCAGCATCTCCAGATGATGGCACTGTTTGGGGAGCTTGTGAAGTTTTCCAGACTACAGACACCCTAGCAGAATAAGTCATAGGGTTGGGGAGGGGGGGGGGCTAGTTTTGCAAGTGGCAGCTGCTTCTGGCTCTAGCATGAATTGTCTGTTCCCTTGTCCAAAATTTTGTTCACATGCTTTCAAGATTTGGCAAAGTCCTGTTACAGGTTCCCTGCCAGAGTGGCCATGACTTCTGTACCATGCCTTGCTGATTACAATGGACCCAAACCAAAGAGTCTATTTACCTCTAAGTTGCTTCTGTCTCGTATTTTTGCCACAGGGGTGAGAAAAACTAACTCGAACGCAGCCTGAGGGAGATTATGATGTCCGTGGTTATCCATCCCTTCTTCAGAGTGGGGGCATAGTGGGGGCATCCTAGGATGATCCAGTGGATGAATGAGGTGGCAGTCTGCCTGCGGGCAGAGCAGGAAACACACAGCGCCTGGAGCCCAGGCTACATGTGCACCGGCATTGCCGTATGGAGCTGAGAACACCACCATGGAGGAGAGAGTTAAAGGCTTTCCCAAACGTCCTCCCAGCTAGTTCCTGTTACGCCTCCACATGACAAGGCCTCCTATTCAATTGTTACAGATATGTCATTCTAACAGGGCTTTCCTGAAAGAGTCACCTTGCACTACTCTCAGGCAGGAAGAAGAGTCATCTAACCCTCTCTTCTTCCTCAACAGTCTCCCACCCCATCCCTTCTCCAATAATCCCAGTGGCAGAAGACAGCTTATAGTTCATGCAAAGGAAGGTAGTTGGGCCAGTATCTCTCCTAAGCAATATGATTTTTGAGTTCTGTGAGCTTCTGGAATCATACTGTCTGAAGTGATGGACAAAAGAAAAAAATATCAAAGACAAACGCAATGTAGGAAAGAATAACAAGCCCTATAACCCCTCCCAGTGCAGAAACCCCAAACTTGCAGAATGAAAGCCTGAAGGTTGAACAAATCTACACCATAGACAGCATCACGGTGGATTACTCAAGACTTCCTACAAGCCCAGAGTTCTGTGAAACATACCTGTAGCTATAGGTAGCAAAGTTCTGGCAGTAATGCTTGACAACAAGAAGGCAAGTATTCTAGGTTCACAGCCTGTTCCTTTGCCTTTAAAAGCAGTGAATTGGGGACAGCAAAGAACGAAACACGCACATAAGCACATGTACAGAGAACACTTGCTCGGGAGATGGGCAGAATCAGACATCAACGGCAGTTGCCTCAGAGAGTTTTCAATCTAATACGAAGTGAGAAGGCATACACCATAGGTTGGTGAGTGGCCAGTGAATGAGCTTGCAAGAGAGGCAGTGAGCAAGAGAAAGATGGGGATTTAAGTCACTTCACAGGAGTTAAAGATGTAGCCCAGGTGCTGGAGAGATGGCTCAATGGTCAAGAGCACTTGTTGCTCCTGCCAAGGACCTGGGTAGGATTCCCAATGCCCACATGATGGCTCACAACCATTAGTGACCTCCATGGATAACCCCCTACTGGGGACATGGAGACAGGCAGATATGTGAGACTCCCACCAGGCAGGCTAGTCTACTTTGGCAAGATCCAGGCCCACAGAGAAGACACCTACAGAAGTTCACTGAGATGTATAGACTTTGGGTCTGGCTAATTTCACTGAGTAATACTTTTTATTTGAAAGTTCTTTACAATAAGGTTTTAATTATTTTGAAAATGAGTTGATAGCAGCTAAGAAATGACACCCTAAGTTGTACAGTTGTTCCCTAGTGTGCCCCCCCCACACACACATTCACACACATACCAGGAAAATACATGCACACTCACATACACACATTTTCCTTCACACATACCAAAAACATATCCTCCACTCCCGCACATGTATCCTCATACATACCACAAATATACACACAAATATATATCCTCATAGATAGTATAAACACACACGAGAAATTATTATTTAGTTATTAATAAGTAGGATCCAGGGAATGAAGTGTCCATTAACAGAATGGGAGATGACAGAGACCCCGTCTGATCCGCGCATATTCTCATGAAATGAATCTGCCTAGCGTGTGCATCAGGCACACGAAGAAGACTCTGACTCTCAGTGGGGAAGGGAAGTTATGTGGTCACCAAGGATTCAGGGGGAGAACCCACAGAAGGCTGGGCCAGGAGAGATTCAACTGACAGAAAAACGTGCGAGAGGCCTGATTAGAGGCCGTCAATGGTGAACAAGGAGGAGCCCATGAGAAGAGTCTTCAGTGACAGAAAGTTGGTGCTGTGGTCGCTTAACTGGAGAGTAAAACTGAAACCAAGTAGCCCTGCATTTAACACAAGCAGGTTTCGGCTGTAAACATGTCTCATTAAAAGGGTCCAGGCAACTAAGGATTATGCCAGGCTGATGAAGATGTTGAGATTGACGCAACCGGAAGCAGCATGAGACACAGAAGACAGTGGAAATTTTTTGTTCTTTTTTTTTTTTTCTTTTACGGCAAGTACAGTTCAGATGGC